TCTTGGCCAAAATTGCACCTCCGTGAAAAAATTTCTGAGTCCAAATATGCATGTTCCTTCCATGTCTTCTACATTTTGTTTATTCGTTGTTTATGTATATGCTCTAGCATTAGAATCATGGAAGCCACTGGTAATTGAAGAAGTTGAAAATCCTTCATACCTTTTGAGCCAGAAAATTTTCTTCCTTGCGGAAGCTTATTTGCGTGCAACAGTTATACGTTTGTGTTTCTATAATTCGATTTTTCCCATTAATAATACCCATTGGCAGTGGTGAAGCCAGAATTTCACATTAGAGTCCTTCACAATTTTTTTTATTATAAATAATTCGAATAAGAGCGCTCAAGCGCTAACTGGATGAATAGGTTAATAATATCATTTCATATTGATTAATAATTTATTCATTTATTACAATCATAATTGTCTTGAATTTCATATGTTAAAATGATTGAATATATATTAATCTCATCATCTACACTATTAAAGACTCAAAATTTAATAATTTATACTTCAACATAGAGAAGAAATACAAAAAAATGTTCATAAATCCCAATATTAAGGTGCCCTACTTGGACATGTAAAAAGGGGAATTCACAAAGTTTAAGTTAATCAAAAGAAGAAGAGAGAGAAAAAGAAGAAGAAGAGTTTTTACTCCAAAAAGCAAACATACAGCAACATATATAAGTAAAAATATGAGAAAATAACAAATATGAGAAGGGGCCTGGACCCACACTGGTCCTTAGGTGGCTCTGCCACTTCCAATTGACAATCGGGATAGTAATTGATCAACTCCTTGTAAATGCATGTTAAGTCCCTCAACTTTTCGATATAGGACATTTCTTTAAAAACTCACAATCTACCACTACCACCAATATTTAATACATAAATGGTGTTTTAGAATATGAGGGATGCCCATAAAACCTGTGGTTTGTGTTTGTGCAAATTTATCATGGTAGAATATTCGCGTGTATGTTCTTCATCCTTCGAGCTTCCTTCTCTCTCTCCCTTGATTCCTGCGAAACAAATAGGAGTAAAAGACCACACCCAGGGGGTGTTTGCCAAAGGCCCTCTGATGCCTAAGTTAGTTCGATTGGATCTTTGAGAAAAGATGTGGCAATAGCTAAATTGGACAGAGTTTTCTCTCACGGGGAGAGCTTGGTGGCCGGAGCAGTATGTGGTGGCACTTAACCGTGTAAAGAGAGTGGGAGAGAGGGGCGGTGAGAGAGAGAGAGAGAGAGAGAGAGAGAGAGAGAGAGAGAGAGAGAGAGGGTTTGCATAGGGTTTTTGAGTGTGATTTTAGAATTACATTGAATGTCTTATGTGACTATGTATTTATAGCTTCCTTGTGTGCTAGGGTTTTGTGAGAATAATCATTATTTGGTTAGGATTAGGGTTCAGCTTCCTTGTGTTCAGGGTTCAGGAATTAATTAGGGTAATTAGTTTGACCTAAGGAATTTCCTTTTCCACGTGTTGTCTTCTTATTGGCCGGTGAAATATATGTTCTCACAAATGCCCTATAGCTTCTGCATGGTGCTTGCGTGGCATGGAGGAGATGAGAAATATCTTTCGGGCTCTCCAACTGCATCTGGGCTTTCTTCTTTGAGTTGGGCTCCTTTTGAAAGTTGGGCTTCTAATTGGAGTAGGCTTTTGATTTTTTTATTTTTTTTTAGTTGGGCTCCCAATGGGAAGAGGCTTGTGATTCTTCCTTGACCTAGGATGCCCAATCTTTATAAATACAAGGCTTCTCTTCACTCATCTCCAAATTGCACACTTGTCATCCTCTACTTTTTAGCTTGCGGGAGAGATATTGAAGGAGTGTACTGCTTGTCGAGGAGAGGAGTCGTCGTGCACACCAAGGTACGTCAAATTTATTTATTTATTTATCCTTTTTCTTAGCGGCAAAGACCAGTTGGGTGGACCCGGCTAGTTGTCGTCGTGGCGTGATGCTACTGGCGGCGAAGGTGGCATCACGGTGGTTGCCGCGATCCTTCATTCTTCCTTTTTTTTCCTTTGCTTGCAGTGAGGAACAGCTGGCGCGGGCGTAGGCTAGCTGGTTGTCGTTGCAAGTCGATGGCTGGAGCGACGGCGCGACTTGGTGGTGGCAGCGCGGAGATGGCTGTCGTCGCATTTTCTGTCTAGCGTGTCCCGAGCCTGGTTGCTGGATCACGACTTTTGTTGCGGTTCAGCAATTGGGCAGGCAGGCTTTTGCTGCATTGTCGGTTGCGGGTGGGGGCAACCACGGCGGCTTGTGGCCTTCTTGATATATATTTATATTGTTGCAATTTAGGGTTTTGATATGTTATCTGACTTGCAATTTTCTTCCTTTTTTGCAGTTATTCATTGATCATGTCTTTCTGATCACCAAGTTCGCGAGTGCCTTTCTACTTGTGAAGTGGTTCCAAAGTGCAAAAGAAGAGATTCGTGGCTAATCTGCATCGCGTTACGTATGTACCTCACTTCCAGAAGTGGCGTGCCACCTATGCTGGCCACTACAGTTTGAATCGACAATTTTGTGGGTTCCGTGGGATTGATGCCACCCCTACTTGAAATTATCCAAAAAAAATTATGTTTTCATTATTAGCTAGTTCTTTAAAATACAAAATACATTAATTAGTTAGGTGTAAATACAAAATACGTTGCTTTCGTTCATTACTAATACATTGGTTTCTTATGATTAATAACGACTAAAATATTGGTAGGTTCAATATATTGAACAATTCGAGACCCGTTTGATAAAATTTTTATTTTCTTATTTCATGGTTATTTTTGTTATTAAGTGGAGGGTTTGGAACAATTTATTCAAATTGAAAAGGAAGTCCTTAATAATTTATGATAGAAGCTTGAGCAATGCAAAGTGGTTTAACACTCCTTCTACGCCCTCCCTCTCTCTTACAAGTTAAAACCATATTTTTCCATGATTTTAAATAATAAGAAATAAATAAAGAGAGAAAATAAAGAAGAAAGCAAAACATGACTGGATCAAGCAATCTGTTTTAGTTGTAAAATGTGTACGTAATTTGATAACGGGCCGTTTGCATATAATGTTACACTATAGTCCCAATCGTCATGGCCGTATAATGTGATGCTCATCCCAGAGTGGGCAGGAACATGTTGCTCTCTTGTTCTTCCATTCAGCTCCGCAAGTATAGCAAAACTGATGTCCACATCTACATGAAGACATTGCAATTTGCAAACATGAGACAAACACCAAGGATTCGTACAAGAGATGCCACTGTGTGCATTGCCATGCGGACGGAGTCATGAAAATGTAGCAAATAAAAATGCACACAGTGGCATCTCTTGTACGAATCCAATTGCATGAAAGTTTTCTATTGGGACGGAGTCATGAAAATGTAGCAGCATCTAGTAAAGGGAAAAAAAAAAAAAAAAGAGAAAAGAACAAGGGTGAAACCTTTTCTTAACTTTCCTGGTAAGAGAAAAAAATAAATAAAGTGAAACCAAAGTAACTTTGCTAGCAAGTTTGATGTAGTGGCCACTCCCTTTTACAGCTAGTAAAGGTAATGCATATTGAAGTATCCAACCCCAAATTTTAAAACTTTTATATATATGGCTTTATCAAATACTCGAGTCCTAGCATCCATGTAGTGTGTGAGTTTAGTATATTATTGCCCCTCTCAATAGGAAAGGTCTTTAAAAAAAGAAAAACACTCCCCTCATTTGAGTAACATTAACTTTCCTGGTAAGAGAAAAAAATAAACAAAGTGAAACCAAAGTAACTTTGCTAGCAAGTTTGATGTAGTGGCCACTCCCTTTTACAGCTAGTAGTAAAGGTAATGGATATTGAAGTATCCAACCCCAAATTTTAAAACTTTTATATATATGGCTTTATCAAATACTCGAGTCCTAACATCCATGTAGTGTGTGAGTTTAGTATATTATTGCCCCTCTTAATAGGAAAGGTCTTTAAAAAAAGAAAAACACTCCCCTCATTTGAGTAACAGGGAAATCTTAGTACCTTGCTTTTAATGTGTTTTCTAGTTGATTTTGGTTTTCGTTTTCAGTTCCAACTAGGATTTGAGGGATTCCTTTACCTACAAACTTGGGAATTTAAATAGGCATTTAACAGCGTTACAGGTTGAACTTGAGATTCACCAACTGAGGGAAAATTTTAACAAATTGTGAATTTGGATATATTTGGTGTATTGGAGATTCTATTGATAAGGGTTAAGATGAGTGACTGAAAAAAAAAATTATTTGCCTTTTTATTGTACATTCTTCCCTATATGGCATAGCTAATTTTAGAAATGATTAAAAAAAAGGGGACTAAAGCAGGACATAAGAAACCAAAAGATTAATCAAATTGGAGTGGATGAGAGTAAAGCACCTGCAAATGATGTGGTAGCAACCACTATCAAGTTCAACCATATGTTTGCATTTCGAACACTGGCGCCATAGTTTCTTCATTGCAAGGGACTTTACCAATTGGTCTTCCGAGCGGGAATAGGTTTCTGATCTTTGGTAATCATAGCAGCTCATATCATAGTGCCAAGGCACCCTGCAATTGATACAAAAATACTGATGGCATTTCATGCACTTCCTGCCTCCCTCACTAACAAAAGAAGTCTTGGTATGTTCCAAGACTTCCTGTTTGGACATCAACGCAGAACACCTCGGAAATGTGCAGTACACTTTCTCCGTAACAGGAATAGAAGATTCCTTGATTCGTTCGATCATAATGTCAGCAAGTTCAGGTGACAAGAATTTTTTACAGGTTTCAGTATTCACTTCACACTTACAGTCTTTATGAGGGCATTGTGCCACGATCCTGCTTTGCAATTGCACTTCCACATGATGTTTCATACAAGACAAGCAATATTTGTGATGACAAGTACCAATTGAAAACATTCGAGCAATAGGATTGTCTTCAAAGCAAATCAAACAAGTCTCCTTCACACTCATGGCTTTGCAAGTTGCTGCAGGGGAGGTGCTCCGAGAAGCTATAGTTTCAAATTGCAAGTTTCGAAGCAAACTTAATGCCACAACTAAACACAAGCTGCAAAGTTTCTTTCCAAACGAGTCACTTGATTGACGAATGCCGCAATCTCGCTGCTTCCAGGAATTGTGCTCATGACCTGTGACAATAAAACGTCAATCACCTCTATCAATTATTGCATAAAACTCATGTGAGCATGGTTTTTTAATGAATGTGAACTGCAATAATGAAGATCAGAATTAAATGAATAATACAACTTGGCTTGCTGAAACTCATTTGAATCCTCTTTTGGATCATATCATCAAGAAAAAAAAAAGTATTAGCTGGACAAAATGGTGTTAATACATGAATCCTTGCTCAAAGTAGTGATATAATTAAGAAATCTAACATACTAAATCTAATAATTTTCTTTGTCCCAGAAACAAATTTACAGAAAAAAATGAACTTAATAATAAGATTGATAAAAGAAAATGAAGATTAGTACTTTAAAAACTCACATATTGGTAAATCAGATAATCATCACAGAGAATATGACCCTTTTCAACTTCAAAGTGAGAGACGTCAATGAGAGCCAAAAGCTCAGCTGCTTTCCTGCTCCGCACAGCAAAATGATTCGAACTTTTGAATATCAATTTGTCCCTGCGATCACAGATGGCAACTCCAGCTCCAACCACCACCACCTTCCTACCCCCCAAATATCAAAGGTTTCCTCCCTCAGCAAACCCTTGCAGTACAATTTGAAACAGTCGCTCGTCACCAAAGCCTTTGATGATGATGAAGGTGGAGGTGACGAGGCCTCGAAGGGTTGAGAGGGAGAGAGAGGTGTGCTAACTATAACAGAGGAAGCAGAGAGAATTAAAGAGAGAGAGAGTGAAAGAATCGAAGCTTCTGTATATTTCTACAGTATATCAAGAAATACAATCCTAGGCTTATGTACCTAGTCTTTACCTTACTGATTAAGCAAAGGCGTTAACAGGCTTCTAACTACTTCACGTGATAGCACGTGGCTTTTACAACCAGCTTGGCACCACTATCAGCAAACCACACTGTATCAGGATGATAAGAAGTTTGAGCAGTCATGGCAGTGACTGTAGGTAGAGGAGAAGACTTTGGGGCATGTTTGGTACACCGACTCTGGATATGAGTAAATAGTTTATATCAATTGTTTGGTGCAACTTGTATTATTTAATTACTTGACTATTTTTAAACGGGTTGAGCTTTTAATATTCTCCTAACCTTACTAACTAATATAACCTACACACAACGATTTAGATAATACACGCTTAATTATACGACTAGGAAAAAAAAACACGCACGTTGACGTGAAAAATGAGACGCCATTTTCATCTTCTTCTCCCTAAGGTTCTTCTCTATTATCTTCTCCACAGGTTATTCTCTTCACTCTTCTCTAGGCATCCATATCTCTCTCTCTCTTCTCTAGGCATCCATATCTCTCTCTCTCTCTCTCTCTCTCTCTCATGCGCTCTCCAAGGGTTAAAGAATATTGAAATTCAATTTAGTCATTGAGAAAAATATTTAGCCAAATTGGACATTGTGTTTCCCAAAGTTTATGATTCATAGACATTTCGTAATATTTTGTTAAGTGCATTATTTTTTAGGAAGCACCTTCAGTAGTTTTCTTCCTCTAGCTCAACGAGTTAGGGTATAGTGAGGTATAAGGAAAATAAAAAAGCCAAACCAAATTAAAATGGAATCAACGACTTACCAATATATTTTGGTGCTCTATCACCTTGATTATGTCTCCTTGTCATCCGAAGTCACAATATTGTTCTCACTCAAATTGAGTTAGGCTTCAATATAGCATCCAATCCATGACCTTAATTATACCTCATAATTTCGATTTCATCCCAAGATTTTTCCCAATTCGTTAAACCCTAATAGCGCAATATGTCCTAACTCGTGGAGTTAGAGAAAGAAGACTAAACGTGCTTTCTAAAAAAAATAAAAATAAAAATTGCACTTAACGGAAATTAACGGAATGTCTATAAGTTGTAAATTTTGGGAAACACATTGACCAATTTGGCTAAATTTATTTCTCAGTGACCAAATTGAATTTTTGTGTAAAACTCAGTGTTCAAAAAGGTATTTAACCCTATAATGAATAGTTCTGCTACTACTAGTGTCGAGGCCTTATGTGATAAACCCCACACCTACTGCTGGGCTTTGTACTCTCTGAAATCTTAACACTATCACGGTTGAGTCTCTTAAAAGGTGGTCATTTTACATAACATTAAACTTGTCATTAACATTTTCACTAAATGGTGGCTAGGGAAGTAAAACACGCAGGTGAAAATAGCAGCACTCAAATAAAATCATGTGCTTTAAGAATGACAATCTAATTTTCTATAGTGTATTTTATGTTTTGTCTGATTGATCTGATTATTATCTTGATCCTATCCTATGTACTTCGCAGCACTGCCACCACCAGCAGGGGTACATACACCCTCATCCAGTGAAAGTCTCTTCGCAGCACCGCCACCAGCAGCAGCAGGAATACATACATCCTCTTCCAGTGGAAACAAGGAGTGTGGTACCGACAAGCTTCATATGATTCACATATCCGTTTTCTATTTTATGTTCAATAACTTTTAAAAGATTTGCAAATGAATCTTGATACTAATAGTCTACTTTTCCAAGCTACATATGATCCTAAGTTTGCAAATGAATCCGAGAGATCTAATCGCCATGGTTTCTTATGATTAATAATGACTAAAATATAATATATTGGTTGGTTCAAAATATTGAACAATTCGAGACATGTTTGATATTGTTTTTATTTTCTTATTCATGCATGGTTATTTTTGTTATTAAACATAGGGTTTGGACAATTTATTTAAATAGAAAAAGAAGAGTTTGAAAATAATTTATGATAGAAGCTAGAGCAATGCAAAGTGGTCTTACAAGTTACAACCACATCTTTCCATGATAAATAAACTAAAAGAAATAAAAGAAGAAAGGAAAACATGACTGGATCAGCCAATCTGTTTTACACTTCTCAATATCGTTATGGCCGTATAATGTGATGCTCATCCCAGAGTGGGCAGGAACATGTTGCTCTCTTGTTCTTCCATTCAGCTCCGCAAGTATAGCAAAACTGATGTCCACACCTACAAAGACACTGCAAAATATTAGAGACAAACAACAGAGTAAAGGGAACGGATATTTAAGTATCCAAAACCAAAAACTTGGAACTTTTACTAGGAGCAACCCAATTATATATATGGCTTGATCATCAAATAATTGGATCAACCAAATAATGTGTGGTTGTTGGTCAACCATCCCCCTCATTTGAGAACTCTCCTTCAAGTTATTATATAAATGGTCAAATAGCGGATTGGATTAGGCCAATTGGCTAGGACAGCAAGTCAGTCCCCTTGCACATAGGTTTGAATCTTCCTAGTATGTTAGATTATTTTAGAGTAGATCATCGCTACTTTCACATTTTACTTTTAAGGTGATTTAGTTAATCCTGAGTTTTTGTTTTTTGAAGGAACTAAAGCAGGACAGAAGAAACCAAAAGATTGATCAAACTTAGTGGATGAGAGTAAAGCACCTGCAAGTGATGTGGTAGCAACCACTATCAAGTTCAACCATATGTTTGCAGTTGGAACACTGCCGCCATAGTTTCATCATTGCAAGCGATTTTAGCAATTGCTCTTCTGTGAGGGAATAGGTTTCTGATCCTTGGTAATCATAGCAGCTCATATCATAGTGCCAGGGAACCTTGCAATTGACACAAAAATAGCGCTGGCATTTCATGCACTTCCTGCCTCCCTCACTAACAAAAGAAGTCTGGGTATGTTCCAAGACCTCCTTTTTGGACATCAAGGCAGAACACATCGGAAATGCGCAGTAAACTTTCTCCGTGACAGGAATAGAAGACTCCTTGATTCGTTCGATCATAATGTCAGCAAGTTCAGGTGACAAGAAATTTTTACAGGTTATAATATTCACTTCACACTTACAGTCTTTATGAGGGCATTGTGCCACGATCCCGCTTTGCAAATTTACTTCCACATGATGTTTCATACAAGCCAAGCAATATTTGTGATGGCAAGTACCAATTGAAAACATTCGAGCAATAGGAATGTCTTCGAAGCAAATCAAACAAGTCTCCTTCACACTCATGGCTTTGCAAGTTCCTGCAGAGGAGGTGCTCTGAAAATCTGTAGCTTCAATTGCAAGTTTCGAAGCAAACTTAATGCCACCACTAAACACAAAATATGCACACTTTTTTTCTAAACGAGTCGCTTGAGTGACGTCTAATGCTGCAATCTCGCTGCTTCCAGGAAGTGTGCTCGTGACCTGTGACAATAAAATGTCAATCACCTCTATCAATTATTGCATTAAACTCATGTGAACTACAATAATCAATTAAATTAATAATAAAACTTGGCTTGCTAATATCATTTGAATCCTCTTTTGGATCATATCATCAAGAAAAAAAGAATTTCTTAGATGGACAAAATGGTGTTAATACATGAATATAATATTGATAGGAGAAAATGAGGCTAAGTAGTTTAACAACTCACATATTGGTAAATCAGATAATCATCACACACAAAATATGACCCTTTTCAACTTCAAAGTGAGAGCTTCTTTAAGGCCGTCAATGAGAGCCAAAAGCTCAGCTGTTTTCCTGCTCCGCACAGCAAAATGATTCAAACTTTTGATATTCTTCCTACTTTCGAATATCAAGTTGTCCCTGCGATCACAGATGGCAACTCCAGCCCCAACCACCACCACCTTCCTACCCCAAATATCAAGGGTTTCCTCCCTCAGCAAACCCTTTGAAACAGTCGCTCGTCACCAAAGCCTTTGATGATGATGAAGGCGGAGGTGACGAGGCCTCTCGATGGGTGTGAAAGAGAGAGAGAGAGAGAGAGAGAGAGGTGGTCATTACGACTTCCTTTTTGTATATGGAAACTGGAGAAGGAGGAGAGCATGTAATTAAGGCGGGTTTATGAGAAGAAACGAAGGGGTTTTAGTCGTTCGTTCGTCCCTTGGAGTTCTGCTCCACGTCAGTCAACAATAATTTCCTATTTCTAGAGAGAAAAAATCTATCATGGTTCTCTTTAATTGATAAATTTAAATCCTTTATTTTTCTGAAGTTAATCTTTAATATATTTTTCCAAGTCTTATATATTGATCTTATCTCTTTGATCTGTTTAATGGTGGCTGGCTTTTTCCAAATTCTCTTCTCCGCAATTCTTCTATTAATAACTTTCAGTTTCATTGTTGCAATACTCTCTGCATGCACCTTGTATTTGTTGTACACAAGATTTAGTATTCCAGACAATTTAGAGGCTTCTCATTAATCCGTAGTTTTCTTGAATTTATTTCTTTATTTTTAAATCTTATATTCTTACTGATTACAAATTTTAGAATTACATTTGTGAAAAAAATTTATTTAACTTTTTATTCTATGTGGCAAAATATAGACGAATCATTAAACCACATCATCGTTTGAGAAAACAACATGCCACATCATGTGGCATAAAATCCTTCCATGTCATCATTTAACAGAGTATTTGACAGAATGACTAACGGATATATGAAAATGGTAGAAAAGTCAAACTTTAGGTACGATTTGATACGAAAAATACTTGATGTAGTAAAGTCTGAATTTCAAGAAACTTCCGAGTAGTAAAGTGAAATTTACCCATATTAATAAAATAAAATAAAATAAAATAAAAACATAATAATACGTAACAAGTCCCATTTCTTCAAATGTTGATTTTGGAAGGTTTCATCCTTGATCAAGTTCCCCTTTTGTTGAAGGGGTTGACAACCTAGTTGTGATGAATCTCCCTCCTCATGAAAGGACGACAAATTGTTGTTGCAATGTTCGGTGCAAGGTCCAACTGGTTGTATCTACTCTCTTAAGCTTGTCCAAAATTCGTTGAGGACCATGACAAGGTTATCAAGAAACTCAGATTTATAGGCATATCTTACAAATACATAGAGTAACCACGATCAATTTCATTATCTCACAAGAATAATTTCCTATGTCTTGAAAGAAGAAAAAAAAAAAAAAAAAAGAGGTTAATTTAAGTTTATAGAATTATCTAAGTATTCATATTTTTCAAAATTGTCGTAATGTAGTTCTATCTCTTGAAGAATATTGAAGTCCAACATCGAAAATTTAGCCAAATCAAATATGAATGGTTCCACTATTAATAGCATCGAGGCTTTTTGTGATAAAATTCCACACCAACTAGGCTTTGTAGATGGTTAAGTTGGGGACAATATTGATATTGCTAGTAGTGCACTTCTATCTCGTCTCCTTGAAATCTTAACAAGGTATCAGAGCATGCTGGTTGATTGGGCCTGATTGAACCCAAACCCCGAATCGAACCCCAAAATTGAAGCCCTGAATTAAACTTGAATCAAACAAACGAGTGTTAAAGAATATTGAAATTCAATTTAGTCATTGAGAAAAATATTTAGCCAAATTGGATACTGTGTTTCCCAAAGTTTACGATTCATAGACATTTCGTTATATTTCGTTAAGTGCATTATTTTTTAGGAAGCACCTTCAGTTTTCTTCCTCTAGCTCAACGAGTTAGGGTATAGTGAGGTATAAGGAAAATAAAAAAGCCAAACCAAATTAAAATGGAATCAACAACTTACCAATATATTTTGGTGCTCTATCACCTTGATTATGTCTCCTTGCCATCCGACGTCACAATATTGTTCTCACTCAATTGAGTTAGGCTTCAATATAGCATCCAGTCCATGACCTTATACCTCATAATTTTGATTTTATCCCAAGATTTTTCCCAATTTGTTAAACCCTAATAGCACAATATGTCCTAACTCATGGAGTTAGAGAAAGAAGACTAAACGTGCTTTCTAAAAAAATAAAAATAAAAATTGCACTTAATGGAAATTAACGGAATGTCTATAAGTTGTAAATTTTGGGAAACACAATGACTAATTTGGCTAAATTTATTTCTCAGTGACCAAATTGAATTTTTGTGTAAAACCCAGTGATCAAAAAGGTATTTAACCCTATAATGAATAGTTCCGCTACTACTAGCGTCGATGTCTTATCTGATAAACCCCACACCTACTGCTGAGCTTTGTACTCTCTGAAATCTTAACACTATCATGGTTGAGTCTCTTAAAAGGTGGTCATTTTACATAACATTAAACTTGTCATTAACATTTTCACTAAATGGTGGCTAGGGAAGTAAAACACGTAGGTGAAGAGGATTGAAGAGAAGTTTTTATGTTCTTAAGCCGTGTTCACAGGGTTTCTGTGTCCTTAGCCGTGTTCGCAGGGTTTCTGTGTTCTTTAAACTCCTCAAATCAAATTCCTCATATTTTTCCCCAAATCCAAATCCCTCAAATCTAAAGTCCTCAAATGCCTTATCTCAAATTTCTCATATTCAAATCCAAATTCCTCAAATCTTATACACATACCTCTCAAATCCAATTCCTACATCGAATTCATACATCAAATTTCTCAAATCAAATTCCTAAATCAAACAGTCGGTCGCCAATGGAAAGCGACCGGTCCCCCCTTAGTTCTTCGAACACGGAGAATCTGCTTCAAAACTATTAGTTGCCAGTGGAAAGCGACTGGTAGTTAGAGAAGCTGTTTCAAACCGACCGGTCGCCAAAATCCAGCGACCGGTCACCAGAGGAAAACGATCAGTTTTCTCCACGCTGTCAAAATCAGGAGGAGGAAATTGAACTGTCTTATGAGATTTTTCCCGCTTCAGCTCCAGTACCACACCAATCACCTGGTGAGGAAGTCATTTAGTGTGCCGGCTGACACAACTATTGAGATGAATCACAAGTTGTGTGAAGACATGGACCAAGAACCAACCAATAAGGAACAATATCATACGCCTTGTTGGAAGGTTGATATACCTGGCACACACAAGACCAGATAGTGCATATGCTGTGAGTGTGGTTAGTCAGTTTATGCATTCACCCAGTGTTTCTCATATGAATGCTGTTAATCGAATCTTAAGATACTTAAAGTCAGCTCTTGGAAAGGTTTTAATGTTCTCAAAACATGAAGATCTTGAAGTTTTAGGATATACATATGCTAATTGGGCTGGGTCCATTATAGATAGACGCTCTACTTCTGGTTACTTTACATTCGTGGGAGGTAACCTAGTCACTTGGCGGAGTAAAAAATAAAATTTGGTTTCTCGATCTAGTGTAGAAGCAGAGGATAGAGGAATGACTCAAAGAGGTTGTGAATTATTGTGAATCAGAAGACTCTTGACAGAATTGGGTTTCAAGCCAGAAAAGCCAATGGAGTTACATTGTGATAACAAGTCAGCCATTGATATTGTCCATAATCCAGTTCAACATGATCGAACCAAACATGTTGAGGTGGATAGACATTTTATAAAAGAAAAAATTGAGAAGAAGATCATCCGCCTACCATTCTTAAAATCAGAAGATCAACTGGCAGATATCTTAACCAAAGCTGTTTGTGGCAGAGTATTTCATGACTCACTTACCAAGTTGGGCATTTGTGACGTATATGCACCAACTTGAGGAGGAGTGTTGAAGTGAGTCTTCTAATTAATCAAGGAAATTTATTTCCTTGATTAATTAAGGGATTTACTTTCGTATTTTTATATAGTTGTCAAATCATTGTATAATTAGGAGATACTTTCCTAATCCTTTACTTTATCTAATTCCTTGTAAAGCACTCATGTAAACTCCTATATATACCTCCTTATGGAGAAGAATAAAGATAACAACCTAGCATATTCAAAACCAAATATTCATATTTTAGCAAATAGCAGCACTCAAATAAAATCATGTGCTTTAAGAATGACAATCTAATTTTCTGTGTATTTTATGTTTTGTCTGATTGATCTGATTATTATCTTGATCCTATCCTATGTACTTCGCAGCACTGCCACCACCAGCAGGGGTACATACACCCTCATCCAGTGAAAGTCTCTTCGCAGCACCTCCACCAGCAGCAGCAAGCTTCATATGACGCTTGGAGCCATGATTCGCATATCCGTTTTCTATTTTATGTTCAATAACTTTTAAAAGATTTGCAAATGAATCTTGATACTAATAGTCTACTTTTCCAAGCTACATATGATCCTAAGTTTGCAAATGAATCCCAGAGATCTAATCGCCATGGTTTCTTATGATTAATAATGACTACAATATAATATTGGTAGGTTCAAAATATTGAACAATTCGAGACATGTTTGATATTGTTTTTATTTTCTTATTTCATGGTTATTTTTGTTATTAAACATAGGGTTTGGACAATTTATTTAAATAGAAAAAGAGGAGATTGAAAATAATTTATGATAGAAGCCAGAGCAATGCAAAGTGGTTTTACACTCTTTCCACCCCTCCCTCTCTCTTAACAACTTCACAAGTTACAACCACATCTTTCCATGATAAATAAACTAAAAGAAATAAAAGAAGAAAGGAAAACATGACTGGATCAGCCAATCTGTTTTACACTTCTCAATCGTTATGGCCGTATAATGTGATGCTCATCCCATAGTGGGCAGGAACATGTTGCTCTCTTGTTCTTCCATTCAGCTCCGCAAGTATAGCAAAACTGATGTCCACACCTACAAAGACACTGCAAAACATTAGAGACAAACAACAGAGTAAAGGGAACGGATATTTTAGTATCCAAAACCAAAAACTTGGAACTTTTACTAGGAGCAACCCAATTATATATATGGCTTGATCATCAAATAATTGGATCAACCAAATAATGTGTGGTTGCTGCTCAACCATCCCCCTCATGTGATAACTCTCTTTCAGGTTATTATATCCACAGTCAAATAGCAGATTGGATTAGGCCAATTGGCCAGGACAGTGAGTCAGTCCCCTTGCACGTAGGTTTGAATCTTCCTAGTATGTTAGATTATTTTAGAGTAGATCATCGCTAATTTCGCATTTTACTTTTAAGGTGATTTAGTTAATCCTGAGTTTTTGTTTTTTAAAGGAACTAAAGCAGGACAGAAGAAACCAAAAGATGATCAAACTTAGTGGATGAGAGTAAAGCACCTGCAAGTGATGTGGTAGCAACCACTATCAAGTTCAACCATATGTTTGCAGTTGGAACACTGCGGCCATAGTTTCGTCATTGCAAGCGATTTTAGCAATTGCTCTTCTGCGAGGGAATAGGTTTCTGATCTTTGGTAATCATAGCAGTTCATATCATAGTGCCAAGGAACCTTGCAATTGATACAAAATAATTGATGGCATTTGATGCACTTCCTGCCTCCCACGCTAGCAAAAGAACCCTTGGTATGTTCCAAGACCTCCTTTTTGGACATCAACGCAGAACACCTCGGAAATGTGCAGTACACCTTCTCCGTAGCAGGAATAGAACATTCCTTGATTCGTTGGATCATAACGTCGGCAAGTTTAGGTGACAAGAATTTTTTACAGGTTTCAACATTCACTTCACACTTACAGCATTTATGAGGGCATTGAGCCACGATCCCGTTTTGCAAATTTACTTCCACATGACATTTCATACAAGACAAGCAATATTTGTGATGACAAGTACCAATAGAAAACATTCGAGCAATACGAGTTTCTTTGAAGCAAATCAAACAAGTCTCCTTTAGACTCATGGTTTTGCTAGTTCCGGCAGGGTAGGTGATTCGAGAAGCTATAGCCCCCATTAAACACAAGAGTTTACTTGATGGACTATATAATAACCGCTATCTCACTGCTTCCGGGAAGTGTGTTTGTAACCTGTAATCTGTAAAATGTCAATCGCCTCTATCAATTGCATTGAACACAAGTTTAAGGATGTGCCACTGAGCATGGTTTTCTTTTTATGAAATGTGAACTACAATAATGGAGATAAGAATTAACTGAACAATATTTGAATCCTTTGTAAGTCTTCAAGCATAAACAACTGAAAACACTAACCCATGCGGCCGTATGAACAACACAAAAGTCTTCTCCCTTTTGCAAGCCCTTGATCACACTCTCTCTAAATGGGGTTTGAGTACTTCATGTGTGTAACTTCTTGCAAAGACAAGGACCTTTCTTTTTATACTTAATTGGCGTGTAACCCTAAGTGAATTCTTCCCATCAACAAATTCAATGAGGACTCTACTTCATCACCAAGCAAACTGGATATTCATATCAGTTATAATAGAATTAGGACTCCTTAATCACATACTATATGAGCAACATGATATTGGACTTAAACTTAATGTCTGCCAACACAACTTCAATCTGAATACAACATGTGTGATGCCCTAATATTGCTTATATCCCTTGGAAGGAAAAGATGAATTTAATACATGAATACTCAAAGTGATATATGAAATTCTAACGTATTAACCCTAACAGTTTTGCTCTCACACACAAACAAACTGAACTAACAAATGGTTGGAGGCTGGGAATCAGTTTAATTAATAGGTATATATATATGTTACGGGATAAATGTTAATTCTCCAAAAATTTAATTCGTTTGGGATTGGAATTTGCACCATCTGAATAAAGCGAAGTTTGCAAGATCTATGGCCATGTCACAGTAAAAGACAGACTAGTTATCTTGCAAAGCATTCATCCAACAAAAAAAAAGGTGCCAAAACTCCATACCAAATATTTCACCAAACAAAGCATATCAGTCAACACAACTATCATCAACATAGTTAAAAAGCAATCACACCCAGAAATTTCCAAAACAAAAACAAAAAAGGAAAAGAAGAAAAAATCAAACTTTAAAAAAGAAAAGACGAATAATAAACTTAATAATGAAGCTTATAGTTCTTTAAAACTCACATATATTGGTAAATCAGGTAATCATCACAGAAAAAAAAAAAAAAAAAAAAACCCTTTCCAACTTCAAACTGAGAGCTTCTTGTAGCCGTCAATGAGAGCCAAAAACAGCTGTTTTCCTGCTCCTCGCTGAAAAATCAAGAGTTCCACTCCGCGCAATCGATTTATTATCTCACAACAATAATTTCCTAGCTCTTGATAAATCCGATATGTAATCCTTTATCTTTCTGAAGTTAATCTCATAGCTCGGTTTATCTTTAATATATTTTTTCAAGTCTTATTACTCTCTCTCTTTGATCTGTTTGGTAGCTAGCTTTTTGCAAATTCTTCGTCATTTCATTGATATATATTAATTACATTAGTTTGTACTTTATAGATATTAATTTGCTAGTTTCAACATATCTGTGCGGCTGTACGATTTATTTATTTTATTTTTAAAAAAAGACCCTCTAGCGAGTAAGCGCCACGTGTCAAAAATAAGTATAGCCGACCTGCTATACTTGTTTTTTTATTTCAAAAAAAAGCATAGTATAGCCGGCGGCTATACTATTTACTATAAAAATATTAATAAAAATGGACCCTCCTAATTGCATTTGTTTGTACTTTATAGATATAATTTACTAATTTCAACATATCCAAAGTATATATTAATCAGCCAATATATAATATTTTAATATAACTTTTATAACATATATTATTCTTATTCAAAAATGTGTGAGAATTATTTGTGTAATACGTGAATTTTGTCTGTCTTATTGAAAATGTTGTAAAAAATACGTGTATTAAACATTAGAAATACGTGTGTACATGTACAATACGACTATTGTACATTTGCTTTTTAAAAAACGTGAGATGTGTATAGAACACAAATGTATTATTGAAAAATACATACGTACGTGTATAATAAAGTATTAAACGTGAAAGTGTTAAATTCTTTATACGGAAAATAACTCTGAAAAAGTAAAAAATTAAAGGGGACAATAGAGATTAGGGTAATGGCCTAATAGTAATGGATAACTACTCTTATCGATGGGAAAAAAATTATAAGAAACAAAGGATCCTAGTATATTCATAAAAGACTATAGCCGCTCGTCTATACTATTTATTGAAGACAAGTTTTTTTAAAAAAAAATTTAAAAATTTTTTTAAAATTTTTTTAAAAAAACTAGTAAGGCCGCCCGGCTATACTATTTTTCTAAACATTTTAAAAAATCAAGTATAGCCGCACGGCTATACGATGAAAAAGAACAGACGCACAGCCCTGGTGCCCACGTGTAAGATAGTATAGCCGTGCGGCTATACATTTTTTAAAATAAAAAAAAGGAACCCCACCGATTAGGCGCCACGTGTCAAACTAGTCTATTTTTTAAAAAAAACACAGAGTATAGCCGTGCAGCTGTACGATTTATTTATTTTATTTTTTTAAAAACACGCTCTAGCGAGTAAGTTCCACGTGTCCAAAATAGGTATAGCCGCCCGGCTATACCCTTTTTTTAAAACTGAAATCGTAGTATAGCCGCTCGGCGATACTATTTAAATACATTATATTCCAACGTTATAGCCGAACGGCTATACTATTTACTAGAAATAAAATTAATAAAAATGGACCATCCATCCTAATTGCATTTGTTTGTACTTTATAGATATTAATTTGCTAATTTCAACATATCCAAAGTAGATATTAATCGGCCACTATCTAATATTTTAATATAACTTTTATAACATATATTATTCCGATTCAATAATATGTGAGAATTATTTGTGTAATATGTGAATTTTGTCTGTCTTAATGAAAATGTTGTAAAAAATATGTGTATTAAACATTAGAAATACGTGTGTACATGTACAATACGACTATTGTACATTTGCTTTTTAAAAACGTGAGACGTGTATAGAACACGAATGTATTATTGAAAAATACTTACGTACGTGTACAATAGAGTATTAAACTTGAAAGTGCTAAATTCTTTATACGGGTAATAACTCTGGAAAAGTAAAAAATTAAAAGGGGACAATAGAGACTAGGGTAATGGCCTAATAGTAATGGATAACTACTCTTATCGATGGGAAAAAAATTATAAGAAAAAAAGGATCCCAGTATATTCATAAAAGACTATAGCTGCTTGTCTATACTATTTATTGAAGACAATTTTTTTTTTTATAGACAATCTTTTTTTTTTTAAACAAAAAAAAAACCAGTAACGCCGGCCGACTATACTATTTTTTTAAACATTTGAAACAAATCACATATAGCCGCACGGCTATACGATTTACTAATATGAAAAAGAGCAGACGCACAGCCCCTTGGTGCCACGTGTAAAATAGTATAGCCGTGCGGCGATACTATTTTTTAATACAAAAACCCACCGATTAGGCGCTATACGATTTATTTATTTTATTTTATAAAAAACACGCTCTAGCGAGTAAGTTCCACGTGTCCAAAATAAGTATAGCTGCCCGGCTATACGCTTTTTTTAATCGGCCACTATATAATATTTTAATATAACTTTTATAACACATATTATTCCTATTCAATAATATGTGAGAATTATTTGTGTAATACATGAATTTTGTCTGTCTTAATGAAAATGTTGTAAAAAATACGTGTATTAAACATTAGAAATACGTGTGTACATGTACAATACGACTATTGTACATTTGCTTTTTAAAAAAAATGAGACGTGTATAGAACACGAATGTATTATTGAAAAATACTTACGTACGTGTACAATAGAGTATTAAACTTGAAAGTGCTAAATTCTTTATACGGGTAATAACTCTGGAAAAGTAAAAAATTAAAAGGGGACAATAGAGACTAGGGTAATGGCCTAATAGTAATGGATAACTACTCTTATTGTTGGGAAAAAAATTATAAGAAAAAAAGGATCCCAGTATATTCATAAAAGACTATAGCCGCTCGTCTATACTATTTATTGAAGACAATTTTTATTTTTTTTTCAAGAACAAAAACCCAATAACGCCGGCCGGCTATACTATTTTTTTAAACATTTGAAACAAATCACGTATAGCCGCACGGCTATACTATTTACTAATATGAAAAAGAGCAGACGCACAGCCCCTTGGTGCCACGTGTAAAATAGTATGGCCGTGCGGCGATACTATTTTTTAATACAAAAAAAGGAACCCCACTGATTAGGCGCCACGTGTCAAACTAGTCTATTTTGGGGGAAAAAAACACAGAGTATAACCGTTCGGCTGTACGATTTATTTATTTTATTTTTTTAAAAGACCCTCTAGCGAGTAAGTGCCACGTGTCAAAAATAAGTATAGCCGCCCGGTTTTCAAAAAGATCCTTTATTTTTCTGAAGTTAATCTCATAGCTCGGTTTATCTTTAATATATTTTTTCAAGTCTTTTTAATCTATCTCCTTGATCTGTTTGGTGGCTGGGTTTTTACCAAATTCTTCTCCGCATTTCTTTGATTAATGTTAACTTTCAGTTTCATTTCTGACCAAACCAAAAAAAAAACTTTCTGTTTCATTGTGTTGATAATTAGTTCCACTCTTAAACTTTTGATTATCATGTTGGAATATGCACCTTAGATGTTGAAAGTTTATTTATTATCTTGTATTTGTTGTCCACAAGATTTATTCCAGGCAATTTATGGCATGTTTATTAATCCATATTCGGGATGAAAATGAATTGGATTGAGAATGAATTGAATTGAGGAGGAGGAGTTAATTTCAATTACTGATTAGTAAACATACCATTAGAGGATTCTCATTAATCTATTGTTGCATCTAGTGTACATACAATGGATAGTTTTCTTGAATCTTATACTTTATTTTTCAGCCCTATCAAGTAAGGGGGCGGATCCGTGGCACCATATTTTTGACACAAGTTTTGACACAATTTTTGGATCATTA